AGATGGCAACAATTTAAAATTACCAAACTGTGCAATTTGTTAATGGATTTAATCTGAGTCTTTGAAAACAGAGCTACTGATCAGATGTCAAATAAATTTACAGACAAGCAAAATTTACACAATCTAAATTTTGAGATAGAGAAAAATATGAGTCCATATTTATAGATGTTGTTGATGAATATTATCAGATATGTACTCTTAATTAACATTTGAATGCCTTGGTTGAAAATTGTTGGGACAGAAATATAGAACTCTTGAATGTCACAGAGTCATCCATATACTGACAATAGTATTTCTAAGTGGGCAGGATCAAAGAACTGCATGCTTTAAAGAACATATAATACTTAGTCCTTAGAATACAGGTTTCAAATTTAGCCCTTACCTTCAGTTTATGTTTATTCAGGACACATTAAATAAATGTTTTTCCTTAGAATGAACCATTAGCTGAATGACTGAAATTTAGAGGACAGAACAGCTTTTCTAATGGTTTGAGATGAGGAAACAAATTTGTAAATAATGCCAAAAACCTTTCTACATCAATTGGCACTCCAATGCACAAACTTACTCCTTCAAGCCATTTTTTAAAGAAGACACAATGTTACATTATGTTTTAAATTATCATATTAAATCTCCTTGCATCATTGTCATGAGATAGTCCTAGTATCCACATACTCCAGTTGAGAAGAGAGACAAAGGGAGGCGTGAAACAAGGAGAGATAAAGCTAGAATCCTGGTTTTGACTCCCTCCCAAGTGCTTAATCCACTCCCCCACATTCCAATTTACAATAAAATGAAATTGGCACATTAACCTGAAAGGAAAAAAAAAAAGAAAGAAAAATGACCAAATTCATTCAGCGAATTCAGGCATACCCAATGAAGTAACAGTGAGTTTATGCTTATTTGAAAAGGAATCTGGTCTGTGCAATAGCACAATTGACTTATACCTAGTGGGGGGAAAAGGCAATTAGAGAATAATCGGGAAGTGCTTGAGAGAGGAATTAAAATAAACAATTGGCTTGTGCTCATTGTAAAGTGACTTTTTTTAAAGAGATTCTGATGAGCACATATATTAAAAATAGAGTTCCTACTCTTCCTGCTCCATTGAAGAGCCTCCCACTTCCTACAAAAAGTCTATAAATTGTGTGACTCTTTAAGTACATGGAGGAATATCACACATTTGCAATTATTGGGTCAGAATATGTGAGTCATGCAGAAATAGAGCTTTGCAGGAAATTTTTATTTCATTGGAGAAATTCTTAGTCATTTATTACAGCTATTAAGAAGACTCTGAAACTGTCAGACCTGTTTTGACAAAATGAACTGTATTCCAAGTGCCCTCCAAGCAAAATCTCTCATTAAAGACAGGCCAGAAATAGATGGGATATGATGGAGAAAAAGCAAAAAAGCAAGATGAGTGAAACTAAAAACTGAGGGACCATTTGAGGTGTAATATATGAAAAATGGCAGTTGTACTTAAGGGCAGGAAGAGAATGTAAAATGGTAAAGCATGAAGGAAACAAATAAAGACAGGATACAAAATGTATACACAAATTCTTATGATCCAGGTTTACTCCAGGCACTTCCTTGCTTGTACTAGGTAGTAGGTCATTCGCACTCATCTCTGTGCCTGAATACCATATTTATATAAATATCTTTGAACCTTCATGTACTTAGAGTGCCATATACTGCCTATGAGCTGGTGTTATTTGAAAACATAGACATAGAGAAAGTATAATTTACTGATAGAACCTAATCGAATTTCCAGTGTCATAGTCTCGTCAAAGCAATACAGTAAGAAATGAACCCCTCCTTTTAATCTAATTGGTTACAACTTTCAAAAACCATTTAATACATCCCCCAATTTTCTTTCAGAATATCATGATGATTTTTTTTTATACTTACCCATCTTTCATGTTGGTGATTTAAAAATAAGCCAATTTTAAGTATTAGAATCCCTTGCACAAAATTATTTTACTTTTAAACATATATATACCTCATTCTTCTATTTCCTTCAATAAGCTTATTTTGACCTCATATAAAATTTGTGAGACTTAACCAATAAACTCTCCAAAGTTCATAGTATATTAATAAAGCATACATTATCAACTAAAATTGATAAGACAGAATTTATGCAACTAAGTCAGTAAACATTACTTACTTCAGTCAAATTAGAGGTAAATGGATTATTTGCCTAAATTACAAGTTAATTTACACAACAGACTAGATGGCTCTCAAAGTGCAATAGATAATATATTCTACCCAGCTGAAAACAAGTTAACCCACAGATACGTTTCAAGGTAGAGGTGATTCTTGAGTTATTATTATTTTTTTAATTTACTAGATTCATAACTCTAGTATGTGATGAGATAGGGGATAGAAAGAAGAGGAGAAAACACACTAAATTCTAATTAGTTTGATTAAGTGTTCTTTTTAAATGGTATGGTTAAGGTGTTGTGTTGCAATCATCCTGTAGGGTTGTTATACTTTAATGCTTGTCTGCATTTGCTTAATTTCCTGCCATGACCACTAAAATATTTAGAGTATTTGCAGAGTGGAAAGTCAAGATTACTGTATTTTTAAGCAGATGCATTTGCATATCATCCATTAAACATTAAGTATATTAAAACCCACCAATTTTTTGAAAGAAATTTTAATGTGCAATTTCGAAGAACTAAAATGTCTTAATAATTTTAGAACTTACCTACAAAGGACTGCCTAAATACTGAAATGATCACCTTTATAAAAAGACTTAATCAGAACTGTTTAAGTTTCTCATTAGTACTCTCGTAAAACAATAAATGACCACATTTTTGGAAACATATAAGCCTGGAAATGCGTTCCCTGATGGAATTTATAGAGCAAGTCACCATTCTGGCTCTTTAATAGGACTATAAAAACAACTGATCTTACAACGCACAGTGCAATGGCTGGTGGTAGCAATGTAGGACATTGATATCTACCAAAAAATGAGAAATGTGATAAATTCAGTCATAGTTCTTCATATGCCCAAAGCACTTAATGATTGTAGACTTGGAATACTGAAAATGTTACTCATTTTAGCTGAAAAAGAAAAAGTTATTTCTACTCTATTACATTTGTACTTAGTTGACCTGTAAATTGAGCAAAGATGTATTTGTTTGATAGAAACAGCCAGGTTTGTTTCGGAATAAACTTAAATATACTTTTTGATTTCTCACTATGATTAGTTTAAAGAACTAGTCAATAAAAAAAATAAAGATCTTTGCCTTTTGTAAGAACATGTTTTATGTATGATTGAAGTTTTTACAACACTCTGAGAAAGCCATCCGATGTTAGATTTAAAAATAAAATCAAAAGCATTTTCCGACATAGTACACATGAAAAATTGGAAATTCCAATATCTTCAATAGAAGTTGTAGAAAGTGTATGTCTCCTTGGAGTTTGACACCCACTTAACACAGCAGAAAATAAGGTACTATACTGTAAACAAAAAAGTACAGTAGAGGACAGTTGTAAATTTACATAAGAATAGTTCATAAACTTTTGGTCTTTCCAGAACAGTTTTTATATAAAATGAATAAAAAAACCTTTAGACAGCTGTCATCACTCTTGTTTGACCACTTTTCACTTATATGCACACAGACATATTTATATAGCAATATATTGATGCACCGTTACATGGATATTAAACTATGATTACTGCTTTGTAACTGAGATGTGCATTATCCAATCAACATTATCCATAGTTGAAATATTCTTACATTATGTATTGTTGTCATGTTGTATCTATAAAAACATGAAAATATAACTTTACATTATTTCAATTATTTACATTAGTTCAAGCTTGACAGAGAAAAATTGATAAGCTACAATTTTTAGAAGAGTAGGCCCAGAGGTACAATAAATAGCATTGATTGTGTAGTCATCTTTTTCATTTTTAAAAACTCATTTGAAGTACAATATGGAAACAATTAGTCTGCAATTTGGTCATTCTAGCATTAATTATTAAAACTTAAAATGCACCTCCAACATTCCTGATGAGGAGAAATGCACGTAAATTATATTGTATTATCCTGGAATTTGTGATCGGGAACGTTAAATTTAGTGAAGAACATCATTATACTACATATCACCATGTTCGATCTCTCATCGAACACATTCTCCTTCCCTTCTGTGAAACATAATCAATGAAACTGTTTTCACAGCACTTAGAAGATACCAAGTGCTACACAAAGGCTTGCTTGCAGAAATAATGAGAATAAAAAATATTAAAAATGACTACTTGATGTTAACAATTGTTTAAAACCCTAAATTAATTTTATTTTAGGGGGCTTTAAGAGAAATAAATGGACTTTTATGAAGGGAAATAGAGTTCCTTTAAATTTTTAACTAGAGAAATATAAGCTCTTTAGTCAGAAGTTACAGAAATTTGATGTTTTATCCCCAACTGGGCATATTAAAAGAGCCATTCCACGTGAGGAGTAAGTATAAAT